TTTCTGAATTGGATGAAATCAGTCCGGTCTGAAGTAACGTTTGGCAATAAGTCAAAGGTGCAAATTTTGGGAAAAGGTAAAATCTCTATTCAGTTGAAGGATGGTACTCACAATTTTATATCCGATGTGTTCTATGTTCCTGAACACCAAAATTTGTTGAGTATGGGTCAGTTGTCAGAAAAAGGATATAAGATACATATTGCTCAGGGGTGTTGTACCATTGCAGATGCTAAAGGAGTTTTGATTGCAAAGGTAAATATGTCCCAAAATCGACTATTTCCTTTGAAAATTAAGCATACTCTCCTTGCTTGCTTTAATTCTGAAGTTTGTGATGATAATTGGTTATGGCATATGCGGTTTGGGCATTTTCATTTTTCTGGGTTAAACTATCTTGCGAGAAAGGAACTTGTTTCTGATTTACCTGTTGTGAATGTCCCTAATCATATCTGTGAGATTTGTGTGATTGGGAAGAAGCATAGAGATCCTTTCCCGTGGGCAAGTCAAGGAGAGCCACAAAACAGTTGGAGATTGTTCACTCAGACCTGTGTTCGTTGGAGTTCCCTCATATGGGGTTGTAAGTACTTTATTACTTTCATTGATGATTTCAGTAGGAAAACATGGGTTTACTTTTTGAAGCAAAAGTCTGAAGCATGTGATGTTTTCAAACAATTTAAGGCTTTTGTTGAAAAGCAAAGTGGTTATGAAGTTAAAATCTTGAGAACTGATAGAGTACAGAATATATTGCTTGTGATAATTTTCTGAAAGAAAAGGGTATTCAGCACCAAATGACAGCTAGATACACTCCACAACAAAACGGAGTGGCTGAGAGGAAGAATAGGTCAATCATGGATATGGTGAGGTGCATGTTGAAATCCAAGGATCTGCCTAAACCTTTTTGGGCAGAAGCTGTTGCTTGTGCTGTCTATGTGTTGAATAGGTGTCCAACTAAGAGTGTCCGTGATAAGACGCCCGAAGAAGCTTGGAGTGGGAGAAAACCCTCTATCAAATATCTCAAGGTTTTTGGATGTTTGGCATATGCCACGTGCCGGATCCATTGAGAAAGAAGTTGGATGGTAAAGGTGAGAATGCATATTCATTGGTTATAGTGACGCTTCAAAGGCTTATAAACTATACAATCCTGAAACTAAAAAGGTTGTTATAAGTCGTGATGCCACTTTTGATGAATATGGTGCCTGGGATTGGTTAGCTAAAGATGAAAGTTCAGTTGTTATTCCTGCTGTTGAAAATATTGTTGAAGAGCAACCGATTCCAGATAATGTCCAGTCTCCTTCACCCAGAATCGTCAGTTCGGCGATCTCAGCGCGAGCGCCACTTACCAGCTCGCTTGCAAGATTATGTTTTGGGTCATGATAATGACCTGTCTGATGAAGAGATTGTTCAATTTGCTCTCTTTGCAGATTGTGATCCTTTAACTTTTGAGGAGGCTGCTACATAAACTCATTGGCTTAAGGCGATGGATGAGGAGATACGTGCCATTGAAAAGAATGGTACCTGGGAGTTAACAGATTTACCTCCTGGAAAGAAGCCGATTGGAGTAAAGTGGGTTTACAGAACGAAGTACAAATCAAATGGAGAAATTGACCGTTTTAAGGCACGGTTGGTAGCAAAGGGTTACAAGCAAAAACCAGGTATTGATTATTTTGAGGTTTTTGCTCCTGTAAGTAGACTTGATACAGTTCGAATGGTTATTTCTCTTGCTGCTCAAAATGATTGGAAATTGCATCAAATGGATGTCAAGTCTGCTTTTTTGAATGGTTTTCTTGAAGAAGAAATATATGTTGAACAACCTGCAGGATTTCTGAAGAAAGGGGAGGAAAATAAAGTGTACAGGTTGAGAAAAGCTTTGTATGGCTTAAAGCAAGCGCCTAGGGCGTGGTATGGTTGCATTGATTCATATTTTGTTGAAAGTGGTTTTATGAGATGTCCTCATGAACACACTTTGTATGTCAAATGCACGGATTCTGGTGATATTGTTCTAATCTGTATGTATGTTGATGATCTGGTTTTTACTGGAAATAACTTGAAGTTAATCTCAGAATTCAGGGAGGCACTCATTAAGAGGTTTGAAATGACCGATATGGGCCTTATGTCTTACTTTCTTGGCCTTGAGGTTGTTCAGATGGATGGTGGAATCTTTATTTCACAAAAGAAGTATGCTGTTGATATTTTGAAAAAGTTCAAAATGGAAAACTCCAAACCAGCTTCAACTCCGGTAGCTGAAAAGTTAAAGGTGTCCAAAGATGAGTGTGGTAAGAATGTGAATGTTACGTCTTATAAAAGCTTAATTGGAGTTTGAGGTATCTGGTGGCAACAAGGCCAGATATTTCTTTTGGAGTTGGAATACTTAGCAGATTCATGGAGGAACCAAAAGAATCACATTGGGCTGCAGCAAAGCGAATTCTGAGATATGTCAAAGGTACGAGTAATGGTGGAATTTTTTACTCTACAAATGAAGCTGTGAAACTTGTTGGGTATACAGACAGTGATTGGGCTGGAGATGTTGAGACCAGAAAAAGCACATCAGGATATGCCTTCTATCTTGGTTCAGCCATATTTTCTTGGTCTTCAAAGAAGCAGCAGATTGTAGCACTTTCAACCGCAGAAGCAGAATATATTGCAGCAGCAAACTGTGCTACTCAAGCAGTTTGGCTGAGGAGAATTTTGGAGTTCTTACAACACGAGCAGGAAGCACCTACGACTATTTTTTGTGACAACAAGTCAGCAATTTCGTTGTCCAAAAATCCAGTCTTTCATGGTCGTAGCAAACACATTGATATCAAGTATCACAAAATTAGAGAGTTGGTTGCTGAAAAGCAAATCAACATTGAGTATTGTTCAAGTGAATGTCAAGTTGCAGATATCTTTACGAAGCCGTTGAAGACGGAGACATTTCTTAAATTGAAGAATGAAATTGGGATGACCAATATATCCAACTTGGTTTAAAGGAGGCAATGTTATAATAATATTAGTAATAATATTATTATTAATTAAACCAAGTCAATATTAAAATGAAATGTGAGGTGTGTGAATGTGAACGTGGGTTATGCAGCATTACTACGTGGATCATGGATTAGCAATACATGCACCATTAGTCCTAAATTGTAGCTATGTTTATTATTCTTCTTTTTAGTATAAATAGGCTGTGTATCCACACTTCCAAAATTATCAATCAAGTTAATTCAATTCTCCTTCTCTCTCTCTTCTCAAATATATATTATATATATATTATAGATATATTATATTATATTTAATATATATTATATTAAATATATTATATTTAATATATCTTACAGTATTAAAAAAAAAGTAACATTAAAAATTGAAAAAGAAGAGGAAAATCAGGAAAGTAAAGTCTTGAAATGAATGTCCTATTTACCTTTTACACGCATTTTTAGGAATCAACAAAAGAGATACCAGTTTTCTATTTTTAACATTGTGTAAGAGGTGCTGTCCAATGTCCTATTTACTTTTTATACGCATTAGGAATGAGAGGAGGGAATGGGTTAGCATTTACTCTATAAAAAAAAGTGTTGCAGTGATGTGATTGAAGAAGAAAAAATACCGAATGGATGGGATTGACACATTTCTGTATAAAATTATAAAGTATTATTATATTATATTTTTTTATACCCACAAGTTAGTTTAGAAAAAATAAAAAGTTAGTAGTGTTTGTATTAAAAAGTGGACAATATTTTGGAACAGACTAAAAGGGAAAGTAAGAAAAGTAAAATGGGACGGAGGGAATAGTACTCTATTCTTTATTATACTTGTTGTGATTGGTATGTACGTTAGCCTTTAGCTCTTAAGCGGAGAGTTTTAAGATTGAATCAACAATATAAAAAGTAAAATGTTCTTCTGATGTGCAGTAGTATAGCAGGCCGAGGGCAGTGATGACCAGCGAATGGTTGTTTAGTCTTATAGATAAAGACCATAAAAACTTAGGGTGTGCTTCGAAACTTGAAAAATTATTTCTAAAAATTATTTTTTGAGTTTTCAGTGTTTAGCAAGATTTGAAAAATTAAAGTAATGGAGAATGATGTCCGGTCAAAGAGAAAAATGCTTTTGTTTTCTTCAAAAACAAGTTCCCCTCTTTTGAGGGTAGTCATTTTATAATTTCCAGATTCACAGGGCTTCTTCTTCCTCGCTTCTTTGATCTTCCTTGGCTTCTTTCGCGACTTCTTTTATGGCCATCTTGCGCGACTTCTTCCTCGGCCATCCCGATGTCTACTTTCTTCCACGTCTTTCTTCATCATGTGGTCCAAGATTTTATTTTTGTTTTTATTTTTTTTTTTAAATTTGATGAAAACCCACAGCTGGTTTCGAAAACCAAAACACTAATTTTGGAAACCAAATCACTAGTTTCCGCCGAAAACCAAAGCATCGGTTTCGGGCCCTACCACTGCCCTCCACCTGCCCTCTTCGTGCCCTACCACTGCAACACCACAATAATATTTGCGATGTGTATAAGAGGCTGTTAAGCACGGTTCGGGCACATGAGGCTGCATGGCAATCGAGGTTCCACCACCATGAAGTAAATACAATTAGTTAAATAGCTGAAGGGCATTCTTGTCTTTCAATTTTCATTCTTTTCATTATGTTATGTCTATTTTACCTATACTATATAAAGATGACGTAACTACATTCTATTCTAGAACTACTTACCACTTGTAATAAACCAATTCAGTTTCTTCTAATATGAACTCTGTTTCTCCATTTTGCTGTGATTTGAGCTCTTCCATCACGGTATCATAGTGACCCGCTGCGATCAAGAATGAATAGAAATTCAATGATCGCAATAGAAATTGATCGGAATCTTAATCGAACAACAACAGCAAACATTGAATCGAAATCTAACTTCTGGAGATTCTCAAACTGGTTCATTACATCAAGGTAGGCCAGTTATGAAGAATACAGAAGCATAATCGGAGAAACTTGGCAGAAAAAGAGGAGAAAGTTACATTAATTTGGCGAAATTTGTGAATGAAAGACCACCTTTTGATGTGATTAGGGCAGAATTTAGAAGGAATTCCCTATCAGTGGCTCGGCACACATTGGATCGATTAATACCAAGCAAGTTCTGATTCGATTCTCACTGGAAGAGGATTGCATGAAGATTTTAGCTAGAGTTCAAGCGTTGATCGAGAACAAGCTAGTTTGGTTCTCGTGATGGTCGACGGGGTGGAATGTGAGAAAATACCTACCTTTAATTCACAATTCAACGCCCTAGTGGTAAACGAAAAACCTTGTTCAGGCGGCTCAGCAATTTATCATCAATCATCATAGATTGGGAACCGAATAGACGTACAGCTCCGGTACCCAGTGGTATCGGTGCAATCGGTGCCACTAGTATAAAAAATCACATCCGCTACACCTCTAAAAGCTAAGTGTTTTCGCTACACCTGTAAAGGTGTAGCGAAATCCAGTGTCGCTAAAAGTGCATACTTTCCGACCCGTACAGGATGTAGCGGAAAGCCAAAAATATTAATTTTTTTTTCATTAAATATTGACTTTCCGCTACACCCTCTCCGTTGAGGGTGTAGCGGAGAGTCATTTAAAAAAAAAAATTCAAGCCTTTCCGCTACACCCTCTCAGTTGAGGATGTAGTTGAAAGTATTATTAAAAAAAAATCAAAATTTCGCTACACCCTCCGAGAGGGTGCCACAGAGTTTCTTTTAAAAAATAAATATGTTCTGCAAAAGTTTGTGTTTTTTTATTATTCAATTTAATTTTTTAAAACCAACAATTAATATCCTGTACAAAAATCTTTAAAAACCAATACAACAATTTACAAACTAATTCAACAATTAACAATCAACAGAATATACTTATAATTATCAACACAATATACTTATAACAATCAACACAATATACTTAGGCTCTTGAATTATCTCTAAGTTTATGTACCTCTATCATGAAATCTTTCTTTCAGTTTTCGCCTTAGTTCCAAATATTCCAACTCCACCATTGAAGGCTCATGTTTTTCCTCATGTATCAATAGGAACAACATCATACAGTCTGCAAACTTCATGTAGTGCTTCATCATCCTTCTTACCCCTTCTACTCTTCCATATTTGCTCAAATCAAGCATTTTTTGACAAATCCTAGAAAGATAAATTACAGATTTTATCAAAGGAATCTATCATATAGGAGGATTGAAATATTGAAACTTTCCTCTGCTAGAAGCTGAGTTTTCACATCTAACCCTGCAGACCAATGATACCTGCAAAATGTGAATATGATGTTAGTTTTTAGGAAGTGCTTAAAATGGAAACAAGCAGGTGACCAGAAAGAATCCCCCGCCATGTATATAAAGATCTTCTAATTCTGTGTTCTATTGACAATCAATTCACATTCTAAATCTGTGTCATCAGCATAAACTTTCTGTCTTACATTATTAAGCAAATCTAGTTTTTATGAAGCAAACAAAAACTGAAAACAAACAAAATGAAGAAGAAAGATCAAATAAACCCCCAAAGCTTGCTCCTAAAGCTCTAAAATATATTCATTATATTGATGTGTAATAGAGGCATTGTCAAAAACTGAAAAGTTATTGTTTCTCCATAAGCATACAGCGCGCTATAGTGTGCTTAGTACGCACTACTCACATCTGGACAACTAGGTCTTAGTCTTCATGCCAGCTCTGTACAAACTATCTTCAAAGATAGATTTTCTTACAATGTTTTATTATGGATTTATGGATGAATCTTTTACACTAGGTTCAATCATTTTACCATCTCCCCAAGCATGCTACTTTAACTCTTTAAGTGTAATTAAAATTAAGTAGAATAGTTGAAACCAGCTTCACCAATGCCCTCCTCCCCTCTAACCAAATCTACACCTTGTCTACATGTAAGATAATATTTCCATTATTTGCTTTCATCATAAACCTAGAACTTTAAAGAACATTTTTTCACAATACACTAGACTTTGTAATGTCTAATTGCCGGATTACTCTCTCTAACAAAAGAACATACTACTTTAAACAAGTTAAAGCTAAACCTCAATCACATGGGTCAATGGGAACTAGGATTCATACCTTTACCATTCACAAAAACAACATAGTATGCTTAAACGTGCGGTATCCCCATCACCATTCGTTGGTCACCACTGCCTTTGCCCTACATGTGACAACTCAAAAATAATTTTCTAAATTCTATTATGAACATAATGTTCAGTAATTATGAACATAGAATTGTGTCCACCTTGCAAGGTGGACACGGTTCCACGGCATAACGAAACATATATGCATGCATGCATGACGGTGGAGGAAAATTCAAATCTGCAGGCACACGGTAATACTGAGGATCAGGAAATACGGCAGCTGCTACAGGCTGAGCCAGCGGAGCATTATCTCCACCCACAACTACCATGGAGCTTCATGTACCCGAAGAGTGCTTAACGGATCATTAAACTGCCTCCCACACACACACAACAAATATAATTCTAGGGTGGGTAGGGGAGGAGGTGGCGGTGCATTGTTACATTTTAAATTGCTTAAAGGTTGAAATGAGGTAGCAGTGATGATCAGTGAATGGTGGCGGGGAATTAATATACATACTGCCCTCCATCTGCTCTCTTCCTGCCCTACCACTGCACACAAATTTTAAAAATAATCTTCTTTTATTTTTAATGTTATTCATGGTCGACCACCACCGCTTCTTCCCTGAGGATGACATCTGATGTTTTGGACTGTCATCAACAACCGATTTTTTCGAAGAATGACGACCTTCTTTCCAAGGATGGCGTCACGACCTTCTTCCAGATTTGGAAGAAGGTTGCCACTGTATTGAGTAATGGTAGGTTTGCTTGAAATTTTAAACTCCTTGCCACAACTAGAATATGACCATGTTTCCTCTCAACAACACTATTTTGTTGAGGAGTGTAGACACAAGATACTTGGTGTAAAATCCCTTTGCTTTGGAAGAATTCTGTCATGGCAAATTCCTTGCCATTATCTGACCTTATGCACTTAACCTGCCTTCCAAATTGTGCATTAGCCAGTTCACAAAAAGTCTGCAAAATTTGTCTGACTTCACTTTTCTTTCTCATTAGATAAATCCAAGTTGCTCTACTATAATCATCTACCAAAGTTAGGAAGTATTGATGACCATAAACTGTGGGGGTGTGATAAGGTCTCCATATGTCTGCATGGGCAAGATCAAAGCAATTTGCAGAAACAGAAGAGCTAGATTGAAAAGGAAGTCTTCTTTACTTTGCATAGTGACAATATTCACAAGCACTTGGCTTGTCATTACAAATGTTATTATCTAACTTGTGCAGAATTCTAACTTTGCCCTCAGAAGGGTGACCTAACCTAGCATGCCAATGGCCACACACATTGACAGTAGGTTTACAAGAATTGAAAATGGAAAAAAAAGTTGATAGAGGCCCTTCTTCAATTCAGTCATACCAATCATCTTCCCATGGTGTTGATCCTGTATAATGCACTGATTAGAGTGGAATAATATGTGACACTGTGATCTTGTGGTAAGCTCACCCAAGGAGATTAAGTTGTAATGAAAGATAGGCACACACAACACATTCAAGAGTACCATGTCAGCAGACAGTTGAGCAGTCCCAATATGGGAAACTTGAGCCTGATTTCCATTGGGTAAATCAACTAGGACTCCTTTAACTTCTTTGGGGTTGTGCAACAAACTCACATCACAGAAAATGTGGTGTGTTGCACCACTATCAAGAATCCATAAGGAATTAGAACTGACCAAGTTACAGACAAGATTAATCGATTTACCTTCCAGTTGCTATCTGGAACAAAACTTGCTGCTATGGCATTGGCTTGGGGGGAACAGATAGAATTATCACTGAGAGGAGAGCTATTGTTGGCTTTCTCATACTTCATAAATTCCAGAAATCTCCTGAAGTCTTCTTGATGCATAGAGGGTATGGTCTGAGGTGAATCATCCCCTTGTACAGCAGCCTGAACCTGATTAACGGCCCCTGAGTTCTTGTTCCTTTTCCAGCCAGGAGGATACCCATGCTTTTTATAGCATTTGTCAATGGTGTGTCCAGTGTACCCACAATAACTACACACTGGTTTTTGTTTTTGGCCAGAAAAGGATCTTTTACTTGAGTTCTCATACTTTGTGAAGAAGGCACTTGCCCTTGACAAACTCTCTCCCAGATTTCCTTGTTCATCCGTTACTTGCCTCTCTTGTTGAGAGACCATAGCAAAGGCTTCTCCAACATCAGGCAAAGGCTTCATTAGCATTATTTGACGCTTGGTGTTGGAGAAATTTTCATTCAATCCAATGAGAAAAGCAGACAACATATCATTTTCTAAATATACCCTACTCTTTTCAGCCAATTTCCTTCCACATTCACACCTTGGTGAACATTCACACGAAGGAGTAGGTCTTAAAACAGACAATTCATCCCAAAGAAGCTTCAGATGAGTGATGTAATCATTAACAGATGAGTTACCTTGCTTTATTTGATAGATCTCTGCCTGTATTTCTGCAATGCGAAAGACATCTTGCTGACTGAATCTCTTCTTCAAGTCTTTCCAGATTCCCTCTGCTGTATTGATCCAAAGAACACTCCTTCCAATGGTAGGTGACACAGCTCTAAGGATCCTGGACAAGACCATGGTATTACATTGATCCCAATAGAAGTAACGAACATCTGTTCTGCTTGGGATCTCCATAGTGCCATCTACAAAAACCATCTTGTTCTTTGACCTCAAGGACATTTCCATGGCCCGGCCCTCGCCCATGGATGGTAGTTGGATCTCCCTTCTAGTTGAGCAGTCACGAGTTGCAACGAAGGACTTTCATTCGGATGGAGGTGCAAAGGATCCACTCGATCTTTAGGATCATAAGGAGCAAGATTGGGTACTGGATTTGGTGTGGTGTTGTTACCAGAGTTTGCTGCCATTGTTGGACGAACCGTATTCAATAATGGTGCTTGCCAAGCCATGTCTCTGATACCATATTGAGTAATATGAAGGAGAGGAAAAAAGAACACCGTATATTGAAACTAAATGATCAACCTATACACAATGCAGGTTGAGTTCTATATAGCTAGTACAGAGAGATAGGAGGGAAAAACAGTTAAAGATGAAAACTAACTAACTGCTTCATAACAAGCCTAACTAACTGCTAATGAGCTAACTGGCTGATCTTCACTTGCTTGTTTGCATGAGCCTCCTGTATGTGTTAACACACTGCCGCGTTGCCTTCTTCTAGATTTGGAGATGGGAACGCATGTACAGGTCATGATGATGACTTCTTAATTCAGTCGATTTCAATTCATATATAAATTCATACATATATGTATAAATTAAAAATGTATTAAAAAAGAAAGTAAAATTAAAAATTGAAAGATAAGAGGAAAATCAGGAATGTAACAGTACTCTATTCTTTATTATACTTTTTCTTTTCTTCGTTAGGAGCCACTTTATCGTGTGTCAGACAAAAGCTATACTTCACAAAAAAAACATGACCTCAACTTTAAGCTTGTGAATTCTGATTGGAATTGAACCATTAAAATGACTTCCATAAAATATTTTTTGAAAAATAAATTGATAGATTTAATTAATCTGGGGTAATCCGAATTATTAAACTCGATAATAATAAGACTAGGATAATGCGATAATAAAGACGATAAATGTGTGTCGCAGGAACTGCTTTTGTATTGATAATTGTTGTAGGAGAATTAAAAGGTGAATGTAATATTAAATAAGACCAAGAAGTAGATACCCCAAACAAGACAAGAATGCTTATTTATATACCAAGCTCCCATCCAACTGCCCCATGAGAATAGGGTGGGCGGTTGATCACCTTTGACTAGGTCCACGTGCACACCCGGGGCCTAGGACACCTCCACCGAAGTCGCCTTCCGCTACGGGCCCACGGTTCGTGGCAGCCCTAACTGTGGTCATAAATCATTCTTCAAAAAACATTCTCTTTTTTCGTTTTTGATTGCGTTCCAGAAAACTCTATTGGTGTGTTTGATTTATTTTTTGAAAATGAACAAAATTATATAATTAATTATTTTAATTGTTTTGTTTAAAATCTAACAACATTTATACTAATATTCTAATAATATAATTAAACATTTTAATTTTGTCTATTATCATCACTCATCTTTAAACACAAACATTCTTATTATCCAAGCAATTCTAGGAGAAATAAGGTATGTATAAAAAAAAAAAACATTGGTGGATTATTTATATAAAATGAGTGCTATTTAAAAATAATTTTTAAAAAAAAAACAAACAAACAAAAACACTAACACTAGAACCAGAGCACTGGTTTATGGTTTCCGGCGGAAACGGTGCTTTGGTTTCTGGCGAAAACCAGTAATATGGTTTCCAGAACCAGTGCTTTGGTTTCCGGAAAACAGCTATATTATGTGTTTTCATCAATTTTCTTTAAAAAAAATAATCTTGAACCAGAAGATGAAGAAAGACGTGGAGAAGGTAGACAGAGGGATGGCCGAGGTAGAAGTCGCAGATGAAGTTGAGGAAGAAGAATCGGAAGAAGCAAGGAAGAAGACTAAAACCATTCACAGAAAATAACGTAGTACGCTTAAACGTACGGTATCCCCACACTATTCATTGGTTATCACTGCCTTAGCCCTGCCTTTCTACTGCACATCAGAAGAACATTGTGCTATCTTTCACACTGTCTAGACTACACGAGATAACCGAGAGTAGAGAGGCGCATTTTGTGAAGAAACCATTGGCCACGCAGTATATATATTGTCTGACTTTTGGATTTCAATTCCTTGAATTGCATGAACTTTTTGAAGATGAGTCTTTGTATGATGATGTTCTTTTTGTTTTAACAGCTCCCAAGCACTTAGTTTTCGGGTACATGAGGCTCTATGGTAGTCGTGGGTGGAGACATGACTACCCTCAGTTTTTAATAGAGGCCATTTCGACAATGTGCTACCACTATTTGAGTGAACTTTTTTTCTTCGTTCTAAAAGTTGTTTAAATTAGTCTGATCTAGCATGAGAATATAAAAAATTAAACAAGTTATTTGTCAATTTAGAGATAAATCACCATCAATCATGTGTTACACATGAACAAAATGAGCGTGCAAAAAAAGAAGTTATAAAGGCACAATAATGCAGTCGTCACCTAATACTAGTAGTACGTTTAATCTATGTATATATTTACATATATAAATTAAAACTTCCCTAAAGAAGAAATCAAGAAAGTAAAATTAAAATTGAAAGTGGACAGGAAAATTAGGAACGTAATTAAGATATTTTTTAGTACTTTATTCTTTAATTATTTCTTTTAAAAAAAAATTAAAGAGTCAATTTTCCGTGTGTCAGACAAAAGTTATATATGTTTCAAAAAAATCATGACCTTAGCTATACGTTTTTATCATCTTAATATGGAACCATTCACGAAAACAACATAGAATGCTTAAATGGTATTTTATGCTAACCTATCATCGTA